ATGGCGACGCGGGCCTGCGCGAGCGCGAGGAGGGGGGTCGAGGAGGGGGGTCGAGGCAGGCGGGAAGGGGGGGGTGGGGCGGTGGTGGTGGGGGGTGGGGGGTTGGAGACGACCTCAGGGGAGAGGAAGGGGGTGGGGAGGAGGGCCGGGCACCTGCACACGGCCCGCCGCCCTTCATGAGAGTTCCCTCGATGCGGACGAGCCCGAGGAGCGCCGCGTAGGCGTACTCGCGCAAAGATGGCCGGGCCGAACGTCGGGTCGACGGGAGCGGCGATGACGGCGGTCGGGTCGATGCTTCCACGTCGTCGATGTCGAGGACGGGCCGAGGCGTGACAGTGACAGCGCGAACGCCCTGCCGTCCGGGGTCAAGTGCGTCATCTGGTGCTTGGGGTGAGATGCACCCACGCGGGGCGGCAAGGCAGCGGCGCACCGAGCTCTCGTCCGCGGTGTCTGTGTAGCACTCGGTGGTCGCCTGCAACGAGCCGTCGGAGTGGTTGCCCTTACAGGTCGTCGTCGGGTCGCCAGGCCACCACCTCCCCGGACTGAGAAGCGGCAGCGACGAGGAGGCGAGGGTAAGTGGGCTGCTGGCATGCCGGAGATGGCGACACGGCGAGCGTGAGGAGGAGGCTCGAGGCAGGCGGGAAGGGGGGGGGGGGGGGACCTTGGCGGGGTGGTTGAAGGCCAGGATCGAGCCGCGCACCGTGCAGCCGAGACCAAAGTGCTGGTGCCGCGCACAGAGTCGTCGACGTTACGTAGTGGGAAGACGAGCGCAGCCAGGAAGACCGAAGTACTGCGCGCGCCGCCGATGACGCCGCCCGCACTTTGCGCCGGGGATGTGTGTTTTTGTGGCGGGGCGTATGCTGTGTGGCGTTTGTGCGTCGGGGAGATGCGTATGGACTAGGGGGCGCGGCCGCTCACGAGCAGCCAGAACGCACCTGTGGGTGGCATGCGTTCGGGAGTCGCTTTTCGCTGGCCAGCGGGAAGGGGTGGGCTCGGACGAGGGCCAGAGGGTCGCCTAGATGGAGGTGAAGCAACGTGACGGCAGCGAGGCGCACCTCAGACTCGGCACCTGATCGGACGGAGGCAGCCCGGTGAGCGGGGGGAGAAATCGAGGATGCGGCGGCGGCCGGCGGACGGCGCTCAGCGCGCATGGGCAAATCCAGCGCGGAGCGGGCGGCGCAGGCCCGGAGCCCTGGCACAGGCGTGGCGCGGCAGGGCGCGGCGCGGGCGCGGTGGCGCGCAGAGATGCTGGCCACGTGCTCGACCGGCGGTGGCCGCACCTGCGAGCGGAGAGGGACAGGCAGTGAGGGCACTCGAGCGACGCGCCCAAGCCGCAGGCGGCGCAGTGTGGGTGGAGGGGAGGAGGCGGTGGCGCGCAGAGTCGGGCGGAGAGCTCCGGCTGACATGCGCTGTCTCGCGAGGCGAAAGGGCGGCGCGCGGCCAGGGCGAGAGTCCGTGTCTGGAGCAGAGAGGCTCGCCGCGCCGCGGGCGGGCACAAGCTGGAGGACAACCTGGCTTGTGGTGAAGGCGACGAGGAGGTCGAGTCGCAAACGGGAACGATCGTGCCGAGAGTGAACGCGAGATGTCGCAAAGAGAAAAATCAAACGCCTCCAGCTCGTTGGCGCCCTTTTTTGGCGGCGATCCGCCCTCCAGCTTCGAAGTGCCCTTCTTCCTCAGAGTGGGCTCGAGCGATGGGTTTGCCGGCCCCTCCACCTCCATTGACGGGCTGGCCGTCGACGCCGAAGGCCCGCCCACTGCCAGCCCCGCCGCCGCGAGCTTGGCCTCGGCTTTTTGGCGCCTCGCCGCGCGCTTCAAATCGCGCTCCCGCTCGAGCGCCAGCTCCGCCTCCCTCTGGGTCTCGCGCCGGTGTCTGTCTTTGGGCTTTTTGCCCATGTGTGCGTGGAGCACGGGTCGACTGCAGGACGACGAAGCATCGGTTTTCTTTTCCTGCGCCTGTGTTAGGTTGGTGCGGCCTTGTTGTAAACTTCTTTTCCTGCTCTAGATTTTAGACAAAAAACTTCTACCTGGAGAGAGAGATCTGACTTGTGTTACAGCTTGCTTGGGCTGTATCCAATGTGATTTCTTGTTGGGAAAAAAATCTCTCTGCTAGTTTCAAGAAAACTCCGTGGGGTGGTGCGTGGAAATCATCGATCGATTTTTCGTTCGTTCGGATCGGGCTCTGAGCCGAGTGAGTCTTGTGTTGTCGAGTCTGAGCTCTGAGGCTGGTTTGGGGCCAAGGAGCAGTGTGTGGTCCAAGTGCAAGATCAGCAAAATCGGCAAAATACCGGGTACCGCGTACCGACCGGTCGAAAAGCGACGTGTCACGTGATGACACGAAGTTGTGAAATCGAGGAGGCTGAAAGTCCAATAAAGTCACAAATTTGTAGCGCGACGCAAAGTTCGCAGTTCGCTGTTCGGTATCCCGGGCCGCGCTAACTAAAAAGCGCGATCCAACAGTCGAGCCAGTGTGTGGGGTTTCTTTCTCGAGGGGGAGCAGCAGTATTACGAAAAAGAAACCGCGGTGCCATAGGCTTCTTATATCATCTGCGAGGCTCAGCTCCTTCAGGTGAGGACCGTTTCGGGGGGGGGGGGGGGTCGATCTCAGGGCAGCAGATCCGATCAGATCAGTAGCAGCTCGACGGTCATGCGGAGCCTCCCGCCCGTCGTTGCCTTCTTTCTGTCCGTCTCGTCTCGGCCGGCTCCTTCCTGCCGGCCGCGTAGGCCACCGCGCGTGGCCTCGAGTTTGCACCAAGCCCTCAAGAGTGCAACTGGTCAAGCTCGCGATTGGACAAGCTGCGCGCCATGACTTGGAGTGCAATCGGTAGCCTCACATCCAGGGCCGGGGAGCTAAGAAGCGCACCCAGCGGGCCAGATGATCGGCATCGGGTTGCGGGTAAGCCCTAGCCCTGGGGGGTGCGCGTTCGCAGGGAAGGGGCCATAAAGTAAACACGTGGAAAAATCGGCAAACAAAACCTGCAAAATACCGGGTATTTAGTTAGCGGGCATTACCTGGAAAAGCCCGGGTATACCCGGTAATACCCGCACTTTTGCATGGTTTCGCCCCCGGGACCACACGCACAGCCGCTACACTAATCAAAAAACCCGCATACCACTTTCGCATACCACTATACCATACCACTCCAAATTTCACCAAACAAATACCGGTCTCATACCGGTAAAGTTCGGTTCCACTGGTCCGGGCCGCCCGCCACGGTTAGGCTGAACACATGTTTCCTCGCGCACCTCTGTCGTTTCTTTTCCTTGTTTCCCTACACGCTACACACCACCCTCTCGTTTCCTCTCTAGTTTCCCGGGGAACTCCCCTGCAACTCATCAATTTTCCGGGCTCTGAGCCGAGTCTGAGGCTGGTTTGTGGAGCGAGGCACTCGGAGCACTTGGGAGTGCAATCGGTGGCCTCACACCCAGGGCCGGGGAGCTAAGAAGCGCACCCAGGTCCCAGCGGGCCGGATGATCGGGATCGGGTTGCGGGCTAGAGAGCCCTAGCCCTGGGGGGGTGCGCGTTCGCAGGGAAGGGGCCATAAAGTAAACACGTCTCCGAGGGACGTTGTTGGACCCGCGTACCGGGTTTCCCCTTAACTGCAGGATGCTCCCTCTACTCGGAGCTAGTGGATACGACACTGTACATCACGCACATACACACAACACAGGCACTGTTTGGGGCAAAATAAAATCAGCAAAATTGGCAACATGCCCGGGCATTTTGCGGGTATCGTACCTGCGAAAACCCCCGGATATACCCGCAAACTCCTTCCGGGTATGTTGCCGGTTTCATCAATTTTGCCTCTGATTTTGCCCCAGACCAGCTCTCACCAGACTCAGGGAAACTCGAGAGTTGCCAGAATGGAGCACCAAACACACTCTGGTTTCCCTCGAATTCCGGAAACGCAAAGCGCTGGAACCCTCTGGTTTCCCTCTGGGTTGCCGGAAACTTTGTGTTCAGGCCGGAATAATTACTACCGCCGAACCGGAAACCTTATGAATCGATCGTATGCCGGTGTGAAGATCCGCGATGTGCCGAGAGTCGGAGCCCGGCGGGCCGGAGTTGGGAGCCCCCGCCCCCCCTCCCCGCCCCCTCCCCCTCCCCCCGCCTCATTTCCCTCTTTGTGCCCCAGCCCCAGCGCGCCGCCGCGG